TCACAGCCTCAGTCACAGCCTCAGAACATACTCACAGCCTCAGAACATACTCACAGCCTCAGAACATACTCACAGCCTCAGAACATACTCACAGCCTCAGAACATACTCACAGCCTCAGAACATACTCACAGCCTCAGAGCATACTCACAGCCGGGGTGATGATGTTCTCCAGACTGATTCCCACATAAATCAGACGTTCTTTCCTGCAACAGAGAACACATTAGCAGTTGTTCAAATGTAGTATCTGAATGTGAGTGCAGCTGTTCTCACCTCCTCTCAGCACGCTCCTTCTTTTTTAAGGCAGCATCGAGGTTTTGGAGCTGCTCCTCCAGTTTGTCGCAGAGCTGCTTCTGCAGAGGAGATCAATCCAACAGTTTCAGCTTCATCACGTCCACTTTCAGCTTTTTCGCTTGCTTTGTGTGTTCTACATGGTTGAACACTGACATGTACGTACATGCTGGCATGGTGGGCAGAACCACTCTCCGTCTGGGATGATCATGAGAGGAGGCCTGAGACAGGCTGTGTGGTAGCCACTGTCACAGGAGTCGCACAGCAAGATCTACACAAGAGAAGAAGACAGCCCAGAAAATAACTGGAGAAACAGTACACAGGAAGAGACACCCAGAGTCACAGAGATCTGACCCATGGGAGCCCTACACTAAAGACTGACGTGACCTGGAACCACAGCAAACCCCTAGCCTCTGGACATCCTTTCTTCACAATAAAGGGCAGAACCAAAACACGCCAAACACTAAGCTGGAGCAAACCCCGTCAGCTCTTCTTTCTGGAGGAGCTCAGCTCCGGGACACCCACCAGCTCGGGGTGGTTGGGAAGACCGCAGTGTTTGCAGGGGTCGTCGTTGGGAGGCAGGTCATCGTCTGAGGAGGTGGAGGAGGCGGAGCTGCGCCGCGCCCTGTTCCGGCCCCGCCTCCTCCTGCTCCGCTCAACCTTGTAGTCCTCGTCGCTGTCGTCCTCCTCCTCCGTCTCCTCCTCGTCAGAGGACTCTTCCTCAGTGTTGTCCTCCTCCCCCTCGGAGCCTTTCTTTTTCCGGCGTGTTCTGGTGTTGGACCAGCGGGCCTTCCGCCTCCTCCTCCCCTGCAGAACAGAGCAGACCCCCTGAGACCCCCGCTCTGCCGAGGGAGGCACGGCCTCACACCGGTAGCCTACCTTGGGTTTGGGCTGCCCCTCCTGTTCTGGCTTCTTCTCTCTGGGTTTTCTTTGAACTGCCTTCACCTCCTCCTCATCTTCCTCTTCCTCTTCGTCTTTTTCGCTCTTCTCTTCCGGGCCTTTCTGAGGCGGTGGGGCGGGCTGGGACTTCTCTACCTTCTTGTCCTGGATTTCTACAGCCTTGGGAGTGGGTCTGGAGATCCTGGGCGACCTCCGCAGTGACCGGGAGGTGTTGGTGTCGGACTCGGAGTCTCCCTGCCCGCTCTCTCTCTGAAGCTGGGCTCTCCTCCGATGTGCTGGAGGCCTTTTCCTCCGGCGCCGGCCCTCTTGTGAAGGAGCTTCTCCACCGTTGGCCACCTCTTCACTTCTGCCTTTACAGTCCTCTTCTTTGGACTCATCAGTGGCAGCTCCTGTGGTCTGGTGTTTCTCAGCTCCTTTCGGGGAGTCTTCCCTGCTAGTTTTCTCCAGTTCTGATACGTTGTTTGCTGTCTGGAGCTGCTTGTCCTCTTCTGTTTCACTGCTTTTTTTCCCCTCTGTGCTCTGTGTGTCCTCAGTGCTCTTTGATTGTTGTGTTTTAGGCTCTCCCTCACACAGTTCCCCATCCTCTTTGTCTTGTGTGTCGGGCTTTTTGTCAGCATCTTCGGGGAGGCCGGTCTGGTCCATGGCACTGGGAGTTTGATCTCTCCCTCCGCAGTCCCCCCCTGCCGTTCTGCTGGTGTCCTCCTCCTGTGGCTTTGTCACATCCACCTCACCAGCGGACATGCTCTCTGCTGCGGGCCTGGACACAGGGTCGCTGACCTCTGATGCATCGTGTCTAGTGTGGTCTTCACAGTTGAGAGTTTCCTTTGTGCCTTGTTTTTTTTCTGGCTTTCCTTCACCTCCTTCCTCCAAACCCATCTCTTCAACGTTTTTGCTCTCCCCACTGGATTGACATAATTCGGATTTGTCCTTCTCTGTAACATGGGGCTGTTCTATGCTCTGCTCCTCTTCCTTTAGGGCACAGGGTGGTGCAGAGGCTTTGGAGTCCCCGTCTTTGTCTACAGGCTGAGGCTCTGCCTCCTCTTTCACAGCAGAGTGGACTGGTTCCTCACAATGAGACTCAGAGGTCTCTGCTTCTTTCTGCTCCTCTTTTACACCTTCTGGAGTCTCTGATTCTGTATGCTGGACTGACTGGGGTGTATCCATGTCCACGCGGTCGGGGACTTCTTCTGAAGGTTTTGACTGGGTCTCTTTGGGTTCAACTTCAGTATTCAGCTCTTTGTTGTCTGACTTTGTTAACACTTCACCAGCCTTTACTGCGTTCCTCTTACAGGCATCTTCTCCATCTGCTGGTTGGGATGCTCCTCTTTTCTGCTGCTCCTCTGGGGTGGAGGACTCTTCCACTACATTGTTTCCATCTTTATCTGAAGGCGACGGCGGGGGGGACACGTGGACCTCCTTCTTTTGAGTTTCCTTTTCTTCCTGCACATCATCTCTCATCATCTTACCCGGGTCTTGGGGACTGGGAGAGCCTTGGGTTTTATCTTTGGAGGCTTGCTCTGAGGCTGGAGTGTTGTTTTCCCTGTCCTCTACGGGCTTTTCTGCTTTTGTTGTCGGCTCCTTGTAAATGGCTGCTTCTTTTAGTTTCTCTGTTGGAAGCTGAACCTCTCCATTAACCTGATCATTTCCTTTGTGCGTCTGCTCATGGGTCTGCTGATGGGTCAGCTCAGCTTTCAGCGCCTGCATGGGTTTAGAAATGTATGGATTCATAATGGCTCCATTTTTGTCAAAGTCTTCGTTAAACTTCATTCCCCTTTTTTTCAGGGGAATTTTGGCCTGCTGGTCATTCTTCAAGGCCTGCTGGATCTCTGCTGAAGTGTTCTTCTTGGGCTCTTCTTCTATTTCCTCCTTCACTGACACACAGGACACGTCAGAGGATGTGGGATGGGTGACTTCCATGGGCTCCTCCTTGGTCTTCTGAGGACTGGAGCTGGACTTTTCTGAGTGGAGTTCTGCCTCTGATTTACCCTCAGCTACTCCATTTAGTGAGGATCTGGCCTCAGGGTCCACCGAGTCAGCTTTGTCGTTCTGCGTTATGCTTTCATCGTTTTCTGCCTTTGGTAAGACCGGAGAGACGACTTTGTTTGAGTCTCTGAATTCTTCATCTGACAGATTTTCAGTCTTTTTGGCATCAGCTGCAAAACGGGAGTAAAAGTCAGAGTGTGAAGAGAGGGGTCAGCGTTTGGACGTTGATTCATTGGGGAGCTTACAGTTTCTACCTTTACCTTCAGCTTTTTCTTTGTCTTCTTCGCCATCAGGCTTGTTCTCCTTTTCTTGGTCCTTTTTTAACAGCTCGGGGTCAATTTGTGTCTTCAGCAGAGCGACGACCTCAGCCAGGTCATTTCTTTCCCTAAAGTGAGGAGAAAACCAAGAATGGATTTGAAAAAGGACGGAGCAAAGACATGCACAGGAATGTGATCTGGGATTATATGAGGCGGTTTTAAGACATGCCGCTGGCCCCTGTTTTTAATGAATGATCGAAAGAACACCTTCTTTCACTTATTTCTCTTCTTGCTCTCTCACCTGACGATACACTTCCAGGACGAGCCGTCCAGGTCGTCCTGCTCCTCCACGTAGACGCGCACATTGTTGTCCTGGTCGAGCTGAAACCAATACATCAGCCCGTCTTTGTCCCGGCCGATTGGCTGCAGGCGCATTTTATCCGGGTCCTCATCATTGATGGCCGTTTTAAACTTCACATTTTCATCAAACTGACACTCACACAAATACTGGAAAGAGAGGAGGCACAAATGATTTCCAGGAGGAAAGAAAAAGTATTTACAGAACACAACTCAGACAAGAGAGATGGTTCTCCACAGAGACAAACAGGGCTGAGATCTCCCTTTTCAGATGTGGAGGAATTCTCCTCTTACCTTTTTTATATAATAGCATTTAAAACTTTGGGAAGCGTTATGCCCTCTATGCACTTAGTTGCTTTCCTCTAACTTGATGCTTTCTCTGAACTGCATTTACTTGCAATATCAGATAAACCACAAACAGCCACGAACATCAGGCTGTTCAACTTAGTCTCGCTTCAAAATCCCAACAATAACAACTTAAAGCAATACCAGAGCTTCTTCTCCTGTCTGGAGCTTGAAAAGAGACCAACACCAAAGCTGAGAAAGTGATGCTGAACTCTTCCTCCACAGGGACACAGAGCAGTGAGCTCACCTTAAGTATCCCCGTCTTGCTCTCCGGCGTCATCTCCTTGTATCCCTTTTGTTCGAGTTCCCATGCCCAGTTTGTGTTGAACTCCTGGCAAGCCTAGGCAAGAAAAACAGCACAGAAGTGTCAAATGATCACACTAGTATGAAAGAAGATAACTGTCCACCCTGGGTTTGTGGGGGTTAGGGTAAGCTTTACACTATGAGGCCGTGATAACTCATTAATCTGGGACTGGAAGGCTAACAGCGGTTACCAGTGAATTTGGCTGAATTGAGCTTCTCCTGCTCGTCTGTGCTGGTTCCCAGTCAGAGCACTTACCAGCCAACATGCTAAGCCTAGAAGGCGTGTGTGTGCTCAGGTGATCCATTCCTAAAGCTAACTCAGTCCTCCCTGTGTCAGCTGGTGGTCTCCCACCGGAGCCTTTAGTCCAGCTGGGTCCTGGCAGTCCTGCTCACCGCCACACCACAGAAACTAACCCTCTCTGCACGGCCTCAGCACCGCGCGGTCAGGGGACACGTGTGGAGCCTGCTCCACGTTGATGGAGAGAAAAAAAGGGCAACAGGACAAATCAGGGCGTTTACCTTGACTAAATACTTCTCCCATCGGTCTGCCGACACAGACTTTCCAATCTTCCTCAGCAACTTGACGTGAAGATCAACCAGCAGCTTTGGGACTAAGGAAGCAGAAAAACAAAACAGGCATCTGTCAGTCCTTGTGCACAAAAACACCACTCATATGCAGCATTCAGAGTGACCCAAACCATTCATTTGCTAAAGCGCTTATGTCTAGTGGCTCACAGGGGGCTGCTGCTCCTCACAGATGTCACCGGGCCAGAGGCGGGTACAGGCCGGACAGGGGGCCAGCCCATCACAGAAGAACCCGACACACAAACCCGCACTCTCACAGTAACGGCAGTTTGGAGTGTCCTATCAGCCTAACTTGCATTTTTTGGACGGTGGGAGGAAGCCGGAGAACCCGGAGAGAACCCACAGACACAGGAGAACATGCGGACTCCACCCAGAAAGGTCCTGGTTCCCCCGGGACTCCAACCCAGAACCCTCTGGTCCTGGT